TCTGTGTCCTTTACCTGACAGTCCAACTGTGGGAGTGCTGCTATACTTGCCACATTTACCCAATTGCAGTACACATCCTTATGGAGTACAGTGCCCTTGCAGATCACCTCAGTAGACTCCACACGTGCAGCCACGAGTACTCTTTGGATGACAACGTGTTTTGCCTCCTATGTCATCATTGGGGCACACCACAGGTGGATGTATTTGCCTCCTATGCCAACGCAAAATGGTACTGCTATTGTTCCAGAGCAGGAATAGGACCAGCGTCTATAGGTGATGCCTTCATGACCACCTGGAATCCAACCCTACTCTTTCTTCCCATTCTGCTCCTCCAGTGCACAGTTGTAAAAATCAGGCAGGACAACTCCAATGCCATCCTGATCGCCCCATGGTGGCCCCACCAACCATGGTTCATGACCCACAGATCCATGGGTCTAGATTTCCTCTGCCTTCTGTGATTCCCACACCTGCTGACCCTCAACCAAGGCAAGATTTTTCATCCAGAGCTCCAGACTCAACACTTCTCTGCCTGGAGGATACTCCCTCAATAAATCAGATTTTGGACTATGCGTGCAAACCTTCTACCAAAACTTTGTAAAATTACAAGTGGAACATCTTTTCGAAATTTGCATCATCACAGAACTTACCTGCCGCTCCAATGATGCTAGACACTGTTCGTGCCTTCCTTCTACTTTTCGAGCAAGGTCTCTCACACGCTACACTAAAGGTATATATTGCAGCTATAGTTGCTCATCAACCTCAGAATATGGACTCTGAATTCTTATTCAGATATCCTATGCTCAAACAATTTTTGCATGGACAATGGAATATTTTCCCGCCATGCAAACCACCTATTTCTTAATGGTTGCTCCAGCTTGTCCTTAACCGCCTAACATGGCCACCCTTTGAACCATTTGGCAACAGCAATGGAAAGACTCTTGGCCTTTAAAATAACCTTCCTGGTTACCATCACTTCAGCCCTCAGAGCCAGTGAACTCTCCGCTCTCCATGTCAACCAACCTTTTCTATCATTCCATCCTGACAAGGTTTACACTAAACACTGACCTCACATTCCTTCCTAAGATGGTGTCTGAATTGCATTTACGACAACCCATTGTTCTGTGTACACTCTTCCCATCACCTGCTAATGACCTAGAGCGCTCCCTACCCTCCTTAGATGCTAGGGGCACCTTGGCATTTTATGTCTCCCGTTCTGCTTCCTTTTGGAAATCTAAGAGAATTTTCATCAGTTGCCATGGCCCTTCTAAGGGTTCTCCAGTCCCTTCTCAAACCATTGTCAAATGGATTGTCTTTACTATTCGCCTGGCATATGACCTTACCCGTGAACCTTTATCTGGGCCAGTCTGTCTGGGCACACTCTACAAGAGCCATAGCAACATCCATGGCATTCCTTAGAGGAGTTGGCTTGGTTGACGTTTGTAAAGTGGCCACCTGGGCAATGCCTTCAAAATTTGCTGCTCATTATCGCCTAGATGTCTGGGCCAAGGCTGATGCCTCATTTGGTCGCACTGTCCTTGCCTCTGCTTTGTCATGACGTCCCACCTCCTGGTAAGTCAGCTTGCAGTTACTCAATTGTGTGTATTCACAGAGACCATGAAGAAGAAAGAGAGGTTACTTACATGTAACTCTGGTTCTTCAAGTGGTGATCTGTGGAGTCACACTTCCCGCCCATCCTCCTCTCTGCCCGTCATGTATGCTTTTGCATGCTGGGCAGCAGCGGACTGTTCTACGGGACTGAGGCACTCTGTGCAAGCACGACGGGAGGGAGGTCCTAACAGACATGTGTAAAAGCTCAGTTTCAGAGAATCTCTGTGCAGGAGCACTAAAACCCAATTGTGTGAATTCACAGAGGACCACTCAAAGAACCAGAGTTACAGGTAAGTAACCTATCTTTTTCAACACTGAGTTCAATGGATATACTCTCAGCTCAGGATCCCTGACTGGAACTAGACTCTGCAGGCAAAAAACATTATTCTGTTCTGTTGACAAGGGCAGAAGGCCAGGATCCTGCTATTTATACCAGGCCTGGTTGGTCTAGAGATTTCACACTGCCTGCCAGTTGTGGGGAATGCTGTAGCATGCTCATTTCCCTACTATATGCACACACTACGCATTAGCTTAGCCTGCTAAGGTAGATCCCAGTCTTGAATCATGAGCTTTTTGGTTAAAAAGTTTAAAATATGTTAGAATCTAATAGTGGTACAACTCGATACTGTGTAAACAGAGCAGAAATCTGCTACCTATAGTTCCCAGTTTGAGTAATTATTCCCAAAGTCTAACGTGTCATCACTCAAATTTGTCCCAAGGGTCAAAAAAAAAAAAAGCAACCTGCCTGTTCCTTCTTTTATCTTCAGCACAAAATGCTATCCTTTTAATATTTCTGGTGCAAAACTGCTATTTTGTATCAAAGGTTTTCTGCTCTGAATAAATGTGCTTATTAAGGATGCATAGACACGTGCCTGCCTTGCTCTGGAAAGGTTCAAACCTTTACAAGTATTCCAGGGGGATGCTCACTAGACCTTGATTACACTTGAAAAGATTTTGTCACTGCCACCTCCTTCTTCCCTCTCTCCCAGAGCCAAGGCACATGCTTTTGACCACAGAAAGATTTTGGGAGCAGCGTTGAGGGCTTTGTACCCCAGTGGAGTGTTTTGCCCTTCCAGGCACTGAGACCTAGACTGCCAATCTAGAATCCCTAGTGGGAAACTAACTGGATGGCAGTTTCTATCATAGCACATCTACTCACAGGTTAGAATATCAGATTCTAATGATACATTCACATTAGGGGTGTTGTATGCATTCAAAGTAGATGGCTTGAATGCATGTGAGCAGAACTGGGGCAAGCACAGTCCTCCTGTGGCCTCACCCCCAATCCTGTGAGCCCCTTCTGCCTTTTAGGGAAAAGGAAGGCAGAAGCAACTGTGGCTAATTCTGTGCATTGCCCTACTGGAGGATGTTTTCTCTCCTTAGTCTACCAGTATCAGAACCTGTAGTAGGAAATTAATTCTGAATGTTGCACTGGATAAAACAAGGAGATCCCACTCCCCCAAACCAAATATATTTTACATTCAACTGGAAGAGAGAGAGAGAGAGAGATGATGGCACCTTGTGTTGCAGCAGGTACTAGTGCATATGTTCTAAGCCACGGATAGTCCATATGACAATTCTAATGTCCTAAGTGGTCACCTGGGTAAAAAGACTGTCTCTCCCTGCAGTCTGGGTGACTATCTGCAAAGCACCACAGACCCTCTTTCTGTTTTTAACCATTTATTTGGCTTTGGAGCAAATAACTCAGTCTGTTCCATGGTGTTCCTGCACATCAGTTGTTTCTCACATGGTAGCAGCGGCCATATAGAACAATTCAAAGCAGCATGCATTGGTGAACATAACAGATGAATCTGTACATAGTTTCCCATCTCTGGACATTCTTGGCGATACATGCTTCTATGTGTCCACATTGAGACTCTGTGGTGGGCACCATAATTTATAGAAGTATTTCACAAAGACAGACAGGAATTTGGTATGTCTCACAGTATGAGATGAACCATCAAAATATAGTTATCTAGGGCCAATTAATAGAAGATTTTATGTGGCTCCTACCAAACCTTGAGAAAACTATGGTGGGGTGGTTTGTTTTTATTTTTGTTGTTGTTTGTTTTTAATTCTAAGACTCCTCCTAACCAGCATGATTAGGCCAGCATAATTCTGGAAGTTAGTTCTCTTAGTGCACTAAGAGAGTAACTTTTCCAAACTCTGGTTCCTATGTTGAAATGCAGCTACATAGACAAATCTTTCATGCAGACTTTCCTCTGTATTTATGTATGTGTGTGTATTCTGCATTAGAAATAATTGGAAGTGTTAGTTTCCATAGATATTATAAATGCTGCTGCTTGACTATATGAAGGGTTAGCAAACTCTGATAATAAAACCCTTTTGCTTTTGCAGACCATACAGATCTCAAGGGTCTTTTTTTCTTTTCAAAAGCAACAGTTGTATTTTCTTTAGACCTCAAGCTATGAAAAAGGCTGAGCAGAGAACTTGGGAGATGACCAGCCTTGGGCAAAACAGATGGCCCTTTTTAAAATGGAAGGAACCAGCCAGTAAGATACTGTAAATCTGTCTCCCTGGCTTAGAGGCAGAGAACGGAGATTTACAAAACTGCAGAGCTTGCTGTTTATATTTTACAAATGTCTTGTGTGTTCCTAGGGACTTGCTGAAATCAGGAGCTGTCATCAGCAGACTTAGCATGAATGTCACCATTGGCGATCTGGGCTACAAAGTAAAATGTTATTTTTAAAGGAAAATGGCTAATCGTAGAAGATGGGCAGATAAAACTTGACAAAATGTGTATATTTACCACATGAAACTAACCAGAATATTTCTGATATGCTGACACAAGCTAGAGGAAATAAAAAATTTCCTTTCAAGAAAATATTTTCATTAGGGTGCTAGGAAAATGTAATATACCTTAAAACAAAAGCATTATCGGGAGAAATGAGTCCTACATCAAATATGTAAAAACTTGATTTATTGGCCTATAAATGGATTGTCTGGAAAGGATCTGTTCCGGTTTTGTTGACAGCTATGACCTATTTAAAAATACAGGTAAAATACACTGATACTTTTCTTATATCACATTGCAAGTGTGTCCATTTGTAACATAAAACCAATTCTTGAACTCTTTGCATGGATTTTTTGCTACAGCGAAAGTATAGGTGGGATGGAAACTTAAAAATGTCCCCTGAGGCTAGGAACCATTTCCACGTGGGTTTTAAAATTATTATGAAGGCATGGATGGCAGTCTCATTTGTTGGAGTACTGTGGCAAATGTTTCCTGGAATTTTGAGGGCTTTGCATCCTTCTTGGAATGCCCCAGTTAACTTCAGCGATTTATTACTGCCCATATAATAAAGTGGGATTGTATTCACAGTACTATATTGCAATGGAATCTAATAAGTGTTTCCTGTTTTCTTTTACAGGAATCCAGTAAGCCTTATCCCTCAGACCTGTCTCGTAGTCCCCAAAGCTTGAGTGACACTGGCTATTCATCTGACGGGATCTCCAGCTCTCAGAGTGAAATCACAGGCTTAGTGCAGCAAGAAGGAGAACAGTTAAATGAAACCGGAATTGTAGAGCCCAGCCCTCCGAGTCCTTCTGAACTCACAAAACTGGAAAGCAGCATGCGCCCTCTACTGGAGTCAAAGGGCTTGGCTCAACCGCCAGCTGAAAAGGGGAAAACATACCATGAATTACGAGAGGAACAGAGGCAGAGGCAGAGACCACGGTCCCTTTCTATTACCCCAGAAGCCTTTGATTCTGATGAGGAGCTAGAAGACATAATGGAAGAAGATGAAGACTCTATAGAATGGGAAAACCAGAGGGAACAGAGGGATAGCATGGAGTCTTCAGATGACTTTGGCAGTAGGCTTCGCCATGACTATGTAGAGGACAGCAGTGAAGGAGGGTTCTCCCCATCACCTGGTAGACAGAAAGTCAAAGAGAAGGAGATGACTGACGAAGAGTTCATGAGGAGGCAGCTCCTGGAGATGAGCGCAGAAGAAGATAACTTGGAGGAGGAGGAGGAAGAATATGATCGTGACAAATACAGTGTTACAAAAAGTGGGCACAAGCCAGACTCTGAAAAAAGCAGAGAGGCTACCTCATCCAAGAGGCGCTTGCCCCACAGCTCTGGGAGCATATATGAAGAGGAAAGAAAAGAGCTGGGGAGTACAGAGAGTGATGACATGACTGCATCTCAGGGAGGTTTGCGACGGTTCAAGACCATCGAATTAAACAGCACTAACAACTATGGCCGAGACATGGAGATTAGCCAAGAGGCAGACATCAGCCTAGACAGAGAACCTGAACTGGAAATGGAGAGTCTAACTGGCTCCCCAGAAGACAGATCGAGAGGTGAATATTCCTCTACCTTGCCAGCCACAACACCCAGCTACACATCAGGAACTTCCCCCACCTCCATCTCTTCCCTGGAAGAGGATAGTGATAGCAGCCCTAGCCGCAGGCAGAGGCTAGAAGAAGTTAAGCAGCAGAGGAAAGCCCGGCATCGCTCCCATGGCCCTCTGCTGCCAACCATAGAAGACTCATCAGAGGAAGAGGAGCTGCGTGAGGAAGAGGAACTCCTGCGGGAGCAGGAAAAAATGCGAGAGGTGGAACAACAGCGTATCCGAAGTACTGCCCGCAAAACAAAGAGAGACAAAGAAGAGCTGAGGGCTCAGAGGAGGAGAGAGAGATCCAAAACCCCACCCAGCAATCTGTCCCCGATTGAAGATGCTTCCCCTACCGAGGAACTGCGGCAGGCTGCAGAGATGGAGGAGCTCCACAGGTCTTCCTGTTCAGAATACTCGCCCTCTGTTGACTCAGAAGCAGAAGGGTTTGATGTCATTTCCTCTAAGCTGTACAAGTCCGGCAGTGAGTACAATCTTCCAACATTTATGTCCCTCTATTCTCCCACAGAAAAAATGGCGAGCTCTGCTTACCCCTCCAGCAAGCCCCTGAAAAGTGCTGAAGAAGCATATGAAGAGATGATGAGAAAGGCAGAAATGTTCCAAAAGCAGCAACCATCCCAACAAAGTGTTTCCTACAGCAGCACCTTCCAACAAGGCTATCGAAGTTCAGAAGGCCAGAGTAATTTTGAGTACCAGTATATAGACGACTACAGCTATGATGGCCGGAACATGGACTCCTCCCAAGCTGACCAGCAGAATGAACTTTCCAAATCTGGGGCAGTTTATGAAGAAATTCTTCAGACATCACAAAATATCTCCAGGATGCACCAGTCCTCTTCTCTAGATCTGACACTTGAGCAAGAAATGAAGAAAAAGGGAAGAGAAGACCCCTATCAGGAGAAGCGGTTTCTGAATGCAGAAAGTGCATATGAAAGTGGCCCACTCACTCCTGGGACCAGTCCTACACAGCTGTCTGCTCCCGTCTCCTTTTCCTCTACAGAAAGCAGTGCAGGCAGAGTAATCCCTGATGTCAGGGTCACACAACATTTTGCAAAAGAGAGTCACGAACACTCAAAACTTCATAGCTCTGCTACCGCATCTAGCTCAGTTTCAAAGAGTGTAACAACACCGTATTCATATGCTAAAGGACCTAGCCCAGTCACCACCATTGTATCTAGTCCAGCAAGTGCTCCACGAATCTATGGCACTCCCACATCTTTGAGCTGCTCAGATGTGCCATCTGTGTCCACCCCGAGCCGAAGTTATAGTCAAACAAAAGTAACTGCAAGTTACGGCTCCCAAACAGAAAACATTTCCAGGGTCAAGAGTGTTGCAGAGATCAGTGGGCCATCAACAAGAGAGAAACTTCAAAGCATTACTGACAGTAAAACACCTAAAATGTACACTTTCTACAAAAGCTCTAGCCCACCACTTTCCCCTTCTTCTCCTACTCAGAGTCCCACTCATTCTGCTCCAAGAGCTGGGATGCTAGCCAGTACTGGGGTGGGAACTAAGTCGACAGCTGAATTTTCTACCCAAACACACAGCACCATTATTTCATATGATGTCTCAGCGACTACTTCAGTACCATCATCTTCTCCAATGGTAGCTCAAGGAACACAAACTCCTCACCGTTCTAGCTCCCCTCGCCTAGCAAGACAACAGTCATCACAAGAAGCCCCATTTATGGTCATCACGTTAGCATCTGATGCAGCCATTCAAACCAAGCCGATTGGCGCAAGTTCTTCCATTTCACCAGCCTCATCTCCGACTCAGCAAGGCCGTCAGCAAACAATGCATAGTTATAGTCAGACAGTAATCAATGCAGCACAACTCCAGCAAGAGCAGCTGCAGTCCACTTATGCAAAGACACAATCAGTGCTAGAAAGAGCCTCTGCTTATACTGCTGCAATGCAGAAAGCACAAAGCCCTGCTGCCGCTGACAGCTTTCCTGGTGCATATAGCTGGGGAACACTGCCTGCAGAAAACATTTCTCTATGTAGAATCTCATCAATACCTGGGACATCTAGAGTAGAACCTGGACCCAGGCTACCCAGTAGTAACATTGTAGACTTGCGGACTGCAATAAAGTCAGCTCCAATCATCATAACAGACCAAGGGATGGATCTCACATCCCTAGCTACCGAGAGCAGAAAATATTGCCTCACTATGGACGAATCATCAAGTCGGCAATCTACAGCTGTCCAGCCGTTAATTATCAATCTTAATGCCCAGGAACAGCCTCATGCAATCATTAGCACAGCCACCACTGTCAGCATAACTGTTGCATCTTCCATGCTTGTGTCTCAACCAAAGCAGCCTGCAGTCTATGGAGATCCATTTCAGAACAGGATGGACTTTGGTCAAGGGACAGGAAGTCCCATCTGTCTGACACAAATTAAGCAGGTAGAGCAAGCCGTTCAGACTGGCACCTTCAGAGGATCTGCAAGTGGCCCTGGCATGTCTGCTTCCGGGGGCCGGCCAGATGCTGTAGGCCCACAGCAAGCAAAGTTTGCCCGGTATAATTTGCCCAACCAGATGACAGCCTTGGTGAAGAAAGACACTGTGATCACACAGACCACTAACGCACAGAATATTGTCAGTGCCATTCCCAGACAATTTCCTCAGGATCAAAGCACAGAGGTATATAGAGGGATCCCCATGGAATTCAAAACACCGACCCCTGCTGCCACCCTGGCTAGTAAGAAATCCCAAGTGATGATGGTGCAGATGGAGGATATAGCAGCAGGGCCAGTCACAAAACTGATGAAAGAGGAATCACCTCCCAGTGCTTTGGATCTCACAGGGATGAAGCCTGAAAGCCAAGTAGCATGCTGTGATATAGTGTACAAATTTCCATTTGCCGGCAGCTGCACTGGAGCTTTTAACCCTTCTTCAAAGGTGCCAGAGAAAAATATTGGGGATGCAACTCACCCTGGAAAACCTAGTGGCCCATATTATGGAAGCAGAGAACAGGAGGTGTCGGATACATATCCTTATAAAGAACAATCAGCGCCAGGGCCTCATCCATATGAAGAGCACAGGTTTTATCCTCATGGGGTGTTTGGGAGATTGTATTCATCCATGTCAGATACAAACCTTTCTGAAATGGGCTTGAACTATTATCCGGTTAAAGGAGAGCAGCTCTTCCACTCCCTTGCTGGGGATTCTGCTGTGGATCTAACCACCATGAAACATTCATACAGCCACAGCTTTACGGAGGGAGGCTACATGGGACATGGACTGCAATATGGCTCCTTCTCTGATCTCCGACAGCCCACTGATTTGCTAAGCCATTCATACCCAATGCGAAGGTACAGCTCAGCCTCAAATATTTATTCAGATTATAGATATGCACCAAGAGGTGACATGGCAAATTTCCAGGAAGCCAGTCTGGCACATTATAGTGCAACTACAGCTCGTGAAATTAGCCGAATGTGTGCAGCGCTCAACTCCATGGACCAGTATGGGGGCAGGCATACAAATAGCCCAGATCTTCTTCAGTATGGACCTGGTGCTGTTGGTGCTGGACCAGGAGGGACTGGTGCCCTCCCAGCTCAACAGGGTGCCATGAAAACCAACATGATGTATAACCCAAATTTTCCAGACTCTCGCCCAGGCTTTGGGAATCTAGCCCAATACAATTTTGCCAGACTTGGAGCTGTCAGACAAGTCCTCCCTTCCACAGCCACTGTGCGTGCTGCTGATGGCATGATTTATTCAACCATTAATACACCAATAGCATCAACTGTTCCCATTACCACCCAGCCAGCTTCTGTGCTACGACCCATGCTCCGGAGCCTATACAGACCCTATGGTCCAGCCGGTATCACAGCTGTCCCTCTCGCCAGCCTGACCAGAGTGCCTCTAGTAACTCCAAGGATGCCCCTTGCAGCCCAAGGTCTGTATCGGTATCCAGCACCTAGCAGGCTTCCTGCAGCTCCCACATCATCAATGATTGAAACACCAATGTATTTGGGGAAACCTGTAAGCACCACTGCAGCCAGCACAGTTGCCGGTAGTGTGAGCATAGCACCAGCTTCCAAGCCCTCAGCTCCAACTGCTGTCAGTTTGCAAAGGCCGGAGCAGTCAGGGACTAGCACACGAGAGGAGGGGTCTGTGGCAACATCCAGGGCACAGAGTACTATAAGAGACACCAGCCAGACACAGCAACAGCAGCAGCCGCCGCCGCCACCGCCGCCACCTCTCCCAGCAACCCAGAAACAGCAAAGTGAAGCTCCACAGTCCAGCGTTGCCAGCAAAGGAGCCACAGAAAGGGAGGAAAAAGAGAAGGAGGAAGAGAGGCAGAGGAAGCAGCAGGAGCATATCCTTCAGATGGAGAGGGAGAGAGTAGAGCTGGAGAAGCTGAGGCAAATGAGGCTGCATGAGGAGCTGGAGAGAGAACGTGTGGAGTTGCAGAGACACAGAGAGAAGGAACAGCTGTTGATGCACCGTGAGATCCAAGAGTTACAATCCATAAAGCACCAAGTCCTGCAACAGCAACAGGAGGAGCGCCAGGCCCAGTTTGCCTTGCAGCGGGAACAATTGGCCCAGCAGCGCTTGCAGTTGGAACAGATCCAGCATTTGCAGCAACAGCTGCAGCAGCAGTTGGAGGAGCAGAAGAGACAAAAGAGTGCTTTCCCTCCTCCAGTATGTGATCCAGCTGGAAGGATGCCTCCACAGGCTGCCCCTGAGATAGCCATGGAAATGCAAAGGACCCTGGCGCAAAATGGACAATTCTGGCCAGCCATAAACCAAGCCTTCATAGCGACCGCAGGCCCGGGGCAAGATGTGCAGCCACAGCCTCGTTATCCGGGGCTCCAGAGGCCTCTCACCAATTCAGCTTCTGAAATGTCCCTGCCAACTGAAGACCAGTGGGAAACCAGTCGAGGAATAAAGAAACGAAACTCGATGCCGCGTCTTCGGGATGCCTACGAGAAGGAACCTGGCCGTGAGCCTTATATTGTTAAGAAGATCACAGACAGCAGTGTACAGACTGATGAGGAGGACGGGGAGGAGCACTTCTATGCATCCCGACGCCGCCGTACCCGTCGCAGCACTGACTGCAGTGTTCAGACAGACGAGGAAGACAATGGCGAATGGGAGCAGCCAGTGCGGCGCCGACGTTCCCGCTTCTCCCGGCACTCAGACTCCAGTGCTGAAAGCAAGCAAGACTCTTCCACCAAAGGTGTGGCCAGTATAGCCATCCAAACCATCAGTGACTGCTCTGTGCAAACAGAACCTGACCAACTCCACAGAGTGTCCCCTTCCATCCATATCACCACTCCTGACCCCAAGGTGGAAATTGTGAAGTATATCTCTGCCCCAGAGAAGACTCAACGAGGAGAGAGCCTGGCCTGCCAGACAGAGCCTGAGGTCCAACCCCAGCCAGGCATCGTAGTCCCTCAGCTCACTGTGCCTACTACAATTACGCCTTACTCCTCCAACATCCAAATTGTAAGCACAGGCCCCTTGGATCCCCATTCAGCCCGGCAGCAGGCACTGGCAAAGAAAAAGCCTGACCCCCTTGAAATTGGCTACCAGTCCCATTTGCCAACCGATTCCTTGTCTCAGCTGGTGTCTCGTCAGCCTCCCAAGTCCCCTCAGGTGCTTTATTCCCCGGTCTCTCCTCTCTCTCCACATCGGCTGCTGGAGTCATCCTTCACAACCAGTGAACGGCTCAACAAGGCACATGTAACTCCACAGAAGCACTTCATGGCTGACTCCACCCAGCGCCAGCAGACACTACCTCGCCCCATCAAAACCATGCAGAGATCCTTATCCGACCCCAAGCCCATCAGCCCAACATCAGAGGAGGCTGCAAAGGACAGGTTCTCTTTGTATCAGCAAACTTTACTTCCTGGCAGCCAGGTAAGATTGTCACTTGTAGCAGATGGAATGGGTTGAAATATATTTCTGCTCTTTAATTTCAAAGCCCTTAGCTTCTGTTTTTCCTATGTTGTCCTAGAGGCTTTATTTCCTTTTTGAATAATCACTGTATGATCCAGCATTCAGTCATCCAGGAAAGAATCAGAACTGTTTTCAATTTTAAAGGGAGAAAAATTATATCACTGTTAATGCACACAGCAGGTTCTGCACTTACAGAGTGTGTACCCAGCTTTACAACTTGCTTTATCTTATATGTAAGCAAGTCAGATGCTGGAGCAGTGCTTTGTTTTTGCTTTAGGCAGATTGCCACCTTTTAAAAAAGCCAAGTATCTTTCAGAACCAGCTATAAAAGAGTCATAAAGACTGTTGAGGTAATCAGCATTAGCCAGTAAGCATCTGCAGCAGCCAGTTTGTTACTTGACATACTGAAATTTTTAGAAACCATTTTTCAGCCCTCACTCTGGGATATGAGGGTGTCCTTGGCTTTTTAAGGCAGCAAGGCCTCTTGAAACCATGCCCCATTACTCTTAAAAAGCTCTTATACACTCTATAGTATTGCATAAGCAACTGCCATGTCTTGTATCTCCTGGGTGGTATTAGGTGATAGGTAGCCACAGGCATGTAACGGATACTAGAAGACTCTCCAGTCTTGTGTAGCATTGCAAGCTGACATCCTGATGTTTAAAAGTAATCTGATTTTGAATGGCATAGCATTCTCTCTGAATTTTCACAGGATGGGGGTTCACTGGCTTGGGAAATTCCATTCTCACAATCTTTTGCAGATATTGCTAAAGGTGTGTACGTTCATAACCAGGGATGGGGACTTGTGACTCGGAGTTGAGTCTCACTTACGTTAAACTGGCAACTGTACTTGAGTGTTTGTTGTTGTTTTTTCTAAGACTTTTTCTTACCACTTGGACCCATTTTTCTGAGTCATGTTTTTGAGTCCCTGTTTAATGGAGACCCAGTCTTTTAAAAGAAAAAAGGAGGTAGTGATGGGGAGGGAAGCCTTCGCTTACTTTTGAAGAGGCAGCCATGATGGTTTCCTCTTGTGAGGGTGAAGGGTCCGCCTTCCTCTTCACCTCTTCCTTGGGCCTCTGAGGGTAAGGAAGAGGAGGAACGAGGAGGAGACAACGGAGCCCCTGCTGAGAACACAGCAGCCCAGTGCAGGTAAGGGGGCACATCATAGGGAGGCGGTGGGGGTGGCAGGGGATGTGCCCCCTCTTACCTGCACAGCGGTGGTGATCCTCAGAGACTGCATGCCAGCTTCCCTTCCAGGAGCCACCTGCTGCCTCCATGCCTATTATCTGGTCGTCAGCTGTGTGGGTGAAGGTAGCAGCCAGGGGATGTGCCCCCTCTTACCTGCACAGCAGTGGTGATCCTCAGAGACTCCATGCCAGCTGGCTCCTGGAAGGGAAGGTGGGCATGTAGTCTCTGAGGATGGTGGCTGTGACAGGAGCAGGTAGGGAGGCCCAGTGGCAGCAGGAGCGTAACGGCAGACGAAGGGGGATACAGTGGCACAATGGGACAGTGGCGGGGGAACAGGCAAAGGAACTCGAGACTCAGACTCGAGCTCAGGTAGGGAGGCCCAGTGGCAGCAGGAGCATAACGGCAGACGAAGGGGGTACAGTGGCACAACGGCAGACTCGAGCCTTCGGACTTGTGCCCCAAGACTTGGACTCAGAACTTGGGTCCCAAGACCTGGACTCAGACCTGGGACACAGATGGGAAGACTTGCCAACCTCCCTGTTCATAACACATTTGTGATTGAAGGTTATGGAGAACAGTGCAGTGCATCAGTCTTCCCATATATGCGTATATAAAGCACTGAGCCTTATACCAATCTCTTTTTTTAAATGTATTTTTATACTCTCTAGTATGTATATTGTTAGCTCATGTAAGACAGCCAAAATCAAAATAGCAAATAATTGCTGTCCTGCATCCCAAAATCCTATAGAAGCACACAAGCAATCTTGAGTTCCCCTCTGTGCCATCTAGTGGTGGTAAAGACCAATATAATTGTGTGGCACTGGTTAAAAACTGTGAAGTTAACAGAAAACTCAATGTGATATTTGAATTGTCCAGAGGTAAACAGTGAGAAAGATAAGCCGTAAAGATGACGCTGTTAAGGTGCTACATTCAATATGCCAGCAAGTTTGGAAAACTCAGCAGCGGCCAGAAGATTGGAAAAGATCAGTCTACATCCCAATCCCAAAGAAGGGCAGTGCCAAAGAATGCTCTAACTATCGTACAATTGCACTCATTTCACACAATTGCAAGGTTATGCTCAAAATCCTCCAAGGCAGGCTTCAGCAGTGTGCAGACCGAGAATTTCCAGAAGTACAAGCTGGATTTCGAAGGGGCAGAGGAACTTGAGACTAAATTGCTAACATGCGCTGGATTATGGAGAAAACCAGAGAGTTCCAGAAAAACATCTACTTCTGCTTCATTAACTACCTAAAAGCCTTTGACTGTGTGGACCACAGCAAACTATGGCAAGTCCTTAAAGAAAAGGGAGTGCCTGACCACCTTATCTATCTCCTGAGAAATCTATATGTAGGACATGAAGCAACAGTTAGAACTGGATATGGAAACACTGATTGGTTCAGAATTGGGAAAGGAGTACAAGAAGGCTGTATATCCAGCACCTTCTGGAACTGACAATTCACAGAAGAACTTGGAGCACTCCCAAGCCAACTACACCAGAGTACAGGTTGCTGTCCTCTGAAGATGCCCGCCACAGAGACTGGCGAAATGTCAGGAAGAACAACCTTCAGAACACGGCCAAAGAGCCCGAAAAACCCAGAACAACCATTAGATCCCGGCCGTGAAAGCCTTCACGAATATAACTTGGAACACTTCTTTTCAAAAGCAACCCATGTGATTAATTGGTTCTTTAATGCATCAGTCTACCTGTTAGTCTCACCTAAATTCTAAAAGCAGGTTATTATAATTACATTTGTCATCTTACTTGTTTTACCTTTCAGCATATAAAATGGACAAGGGGAGGTCTAACCTAGGAGGCCTAGAGCAGAGGATCAAGGGCCACTCATGGCTACTACTAGGGGGCTCTGGAGGGATCTCCTGGCCATTTGAGAAAATTTTACTGTTAAAAAGGCTTTTTGAGGAAAAAGATGAAATACCTTTTCATATCTTTTTATTCTGAAATATCTTAGCCAGTAAGTCACAGCAGATTTCCTAAAAAACTTCTTATACCATTTTTATTGACTTAGCTCTTCTTTCTCTCTTCTCCTTCCATCCGACACTGGCCAGTACAAGTTTTAAAATACCAGTACTATGAACGTTATGTTGTTATGAAGTTATGTTGTTGGGGGGGGTTGAGTGTTTTATCTGGAAAGTCACTGAACAGGACAAGATAATATTTTGGACTCAGGTATTGGAAGTGGGACATGCAACTAGAGCAGTTTTCTTGTTTTTAAACCACTGAGTGGTAATATTTGGTTTTGCTTTTTTGTATAAATAAGAATACTGGAAACGCTTGTCACTGAAAGCCAAAATATATTCATGAAAGAAGAGCCAAAGGGTAAAAGACATACTTCATTGTGGCCTCTGTGAATACACATAAAAGGGTTAAATCAGGGCCTGCGCTGGACCTCTCAGAATTTTCTAGAGCTTGAAGAGAAAAGTAACAAAGTTTAAGTTGCCCCAATAGGATGTGCTCCACCCGCCTCAGCCTCCAGTTCCATTTTACCGCTGTCTGGCTAGGAACCTCTCACTTGAGCTTTGCTAAATTCCTTAGATTTTCAGTATTTTCTGACCACGGACTGTCTTTCTGACTTCACTGTTCTCCGTTGCCCTGATCTTGGACTGACTTTGACCATTCTATTTTGCTTCACGCTGGGATTTATTGTTTCCGGACAATCACCCGCTCGTTAGTGGGCCACGTGCCTTCAATCAACAATTTACATTAGTAAGACTGATCTTTTTCTCCCCTGCTTATGTCCCATTCTGGTCCCTTCAGCCGCTGTATTGTTTGTTCCCGCAAACTACCTTTTCAGGGTGGTCACGATCATTGTCTTTTTTGTCTTGGGGAATCACACCAGCCTGGCAGTTGCAAGCGCTGTAAGAAGTTTACAAAAGCTGCAATTAAAGCATGCCAACAGAGGTTAAAATATCACTTGTGGGATAAAAATCTTTCGGCATCTCAACCATCCAAAATGGAAATCTCTTCCCCTTCTGCCACATCACACGCTGACGTTCATGCAACTTCTCTTCAGTTGCCTTCGGCTGTCCCTAAGGAAAAACCCGCCAAAAAATCTGCTGGCTTAAAGAAAACCTCCACCTCGGCGTCGAAGGCATCTTCCTCTGCTTCAGTTAAATGTGCCAAACAAACCAAGCCGAAAGGTTCTACTAAATCTAAAGAACCCCTCAAACAACTGCCTCCAGTCTCAGCATTGGTTCCTTCACCAATTTTGGAGGACTCTTCCTGGGATCGGGAATCAATGTCCCAGATACCAATGGCATAGACAAGCGGACCCAATACTACATGTGGGTCTGACATCTCCAACCCTGAGCCAACTTGTACAAGCTACCACAAGTTTGGCTTCTGGCCCAGTTAGCCCTGTGTCCACCAGGTGGGCATCTCCAGCTCCTTCTTCGGCATTGGTTCAGTCAAGATCGACTTCGCCTCCATGCAAGAAAACTAAGAAGACTAAGCATTTGCTGCCTGACCAGCACCGTTCTCGTCATCGATTGTCTCAATTCATGGATGATGTCAAAACAAGGATAGAGAATCTGCCGTTTGATTCTACGGGCCTTTTTAACGAAAAAGCAGACAATAATTTGGACGAACTTCATAAAATGAAGAAAACCGCCAAGTCATATTCAGTGCAACAGCAACTTAGTTTTCCCAAATAGCAATGGCTACAACCCTACTCACAATATTCTCAATATTCACAATATTCACAATCTTCTCAATCCTTCCGTCCTTTTAAAGGCCAAGGTCCATCCAGATCATCACA